GCTCCCACTTCTTCATCAGAGCGTCTCTGAGCCTCTAATATTTGCTCTCCTCCTTTTCTTCCTCATCTGACTGATCAAGTCTACTTGGAAAAAAATGCTTCAGAGAGCTCTCGGCATCTCTCTCTTTTTTTCTCTTGCGCAAACTTCTTCTACATTGTGCCTTCTTCTACACTGAACATGTACTGAACCTACTTGGGGATGCAACTAACTGTTGCTTGGTAATAAAGCGTATTGTCCCAGGATCGAGCCCTTGAAAAAGATACCCAAATCTGTTCCACTGGTTGATTGTCCTCACTGTCAGGAAGTTTCTCCTTAATTCCAGGTTGCTTCTCTCCTTGATCAGCTGCCAACCATTGTTCCTCGTCCTTCTCTCTGGTGCTTTGGTGAACAACCTGGCCCCCTCTTCCATGTGGCAGCCCCTCAGATACTGGAACACTGCTATCACGTCTCCCCTATTTCTTCTTTTCTTTAGACTAGCCAAACCCAAGTCCCGCAGCCGTTCTTCGTATGTTTTAGCCTCCAGGCCTTTGATCATCTTAGTTGCTCTTCTCTGAATCTTCTTGGGACTGCTGAAACCCTTTCTCAGAGAGCTAATGACCTTCAGCAGTCCCAAGAAGGTCCCACACCCATTTGCACTCTGATTCAGGAAGACACAGATAAACCCCCAAGTGGCCTCAACGACTCTCAGAGAGCGAACGACAGATCTTCAAAGGACTGACAATCAGATGACTGCAAAGGAATAGAAATCCTTCCATTCCCCACCACTCAGTGGGCAACTGAACATGGATGATTGAGAATCTTAAAAAGATACCTTCTGAAGAACATCTGGTGGCACAGGGGTTAAATTGCATTATTGCAGGCAGTCTCTGCCCACAGCCAGGAGTTCAGTCCTGACCAGCGTTCCATCCTTCCGAGGTCAGTAAAACGAGACCCAGATTGTTGGGGGCAAGATGCAAATAACTCTTTGCATCGTAAACCCCCCCCCCCCAAGAGAGTGCTGGAAAGCACCATGGAGTTGTATATAAGCCTAAAGGCTATTGCTATTGCTATTTCCATCAGCAGTCACTGAAGATCTAATCTTGTGTACAGTGGCTTTCTATAAACGTTTGCTTTTCAAAGGCCATAACACCATCCCAGAGATGGCATAGCAGTACAGAAGGGGGGGGGGAACACACACAAAAATCAGCACATAAGACAATGCCAGTGTTCTTTGCCAAGAGGACAGAAGAAAAGAGAGAGAGATAAATTGTCAGGTGCATGAGGAAGCACCCTCGTCCCCTCTGGGAGAAGACGTTGAGTGCCGAGTTATTAAAAAATCTTGAATGTTCAGTAACTGCGCAGCTCCCCGAGATTCTCTTGCTGAATTAGGGTTGACATCTGCTGTTCCTCAACAGGTTTCTCCCTCAGCTTTACAAACAGCCTTCTCCATGCTTGGAAGAACTCTTCCTTTCCAATTTAATCAGGAGAGGCCACCGAGAGGCTTGTTCAATTTGCCTTTTGAGCAGCACTTCAAAGCAGATTCGCAGGTGTCACCCTAAATGACAGACTAGTAAATCCTCAAAGACAAAACCAAACTGAAAGAAGAGAAACTGGGAGATCAAAACTGACATCCATCCATGCCTGCTCAATGGGATCTTCATTCTGCATGGGGTCAAAGGAGCAGATGTGCTTTGTTGGCCTTCGTTCAGCCTTGAAGAACATCTGAAATGAAGTTGAGGGCCACTCATACATGTTCCTTGACTCTTATTTCAGGATCTGGAGTGTTTTGTTTGGCTTTGTAAATGTACGCGCAGCCTAATTGGGGAAGTGTTATTTTAAAAGAGTTCCTCTGGAAAGGAAACGATAAAAGTTTTAGGCAGCAAGCTAATTTTTATCTTATTTATTAATTTTCAGGCCACCCTTCTCGCTGATACTGTACTTTGTTACTTGCCACCCACTTCATTTTCTGCTACGGGTTTGGTACACCATTTTTCCCACCACAGAGAGAAAAACGCTTGAGGATCCCAGAGAGTTTTAATTTTGTAGAAAATATATCTTAGCAATTGATACGGGGAAAATGACAGAGCATGAACAGGATCAGCTCACTCTGCTAACTCAAGGCCCAGGAAAAGATCAGCATCCTTTAAGCAATCCTTATCTCTGTCCAGTCCTTAGAGATTGTATTTTGTGTGTGTCTGTGTGTGGTTTACTTGCTTTCAGAATGAGAATTTTAGTGTCAGCAAACGTGTCAGTTCTGTGTGCTTTTGGCTTCACCCAGAGAATGTGGTGGAATGTAGTCTGGATTCCCAAGACGGTGGGGTTACATTCCAGAGGGCAAAGCTTAGAAAGTCTGGTAGGCAGCAAGAGGATTAAAACAGCTCCTCCCTAGCAATTCCCAGAGTGTATCTGTAGTTATGCAAATAGGTGCTTTAATCTGGCAAGATTCTGTCTATAGGTGAAGAGCAATAGGAAGCTATTCTTAAGTCACTCCAGGTGGTTCTTGGGGCCTGACAGAAGGTCCCATTCATTGGAGCTTGGTCTTCAAGGTGTCTGTCATTCACAATTTTCAAATACAGGAAGAGGGGAAAGGATAGCCTTGCAGAGATGGTGATAATAGTTTCTTCTCCATCCCATTCTTGGCCCCGCCCTGCTCCTGCCACCTGTGACAGGTACTGCTCTCTGGTGCAGGTATAAATGTTTGTACACGGGGAAATGATAACAGGGCTAGCGTCAGGCCCGAAAACCAAGGAGGAAACATTGTTATTCTTCCAAACTGCTGTCTTTATTATTTCACAGCTATAGACAGAATTGTGCCGAAGTGAAGCACTCTACTCTCTGCATCTACCATGTACTTTGAGAACTATTAGGGAGGAGCTGTCTTCATCCTCTTTCTCTCACAGGTAACATCTGGACCGAGCCAGCTTTTACTCCTCTGGTTATCCAGCCTGCTCCATTCCGTCACATCTAAGGCTCAGCTTAGGTACTTCTGAAATATACAGTATACTCCCTTCTCACCATGGGGTAGCTACCTCTTTGGTAGTAACAGGGGCCACAGACAGGTTACGCCGAAGGAGGCTCAGCTGTGGCTTGACTGTTCCACTTGACCTGGTCATCTTCTGTCTTTGCACACCCTTTTCTCAACGTAATTAAAACACCCATGGAGGAGTCCGCTCTTTCAGTGTGGCTGGTTTGCCTCCATGTTCCTTATATATTAGACCACCTGCTCCGAGTCTGTATGGACTCCCTCAGGAGAAGCTGAGCAGTTCCTACCATCTCCAGTTCTTTCTCATTAATGCCTGCCCCGGCTTCTGAAGACGTTTTGAATTTCTACCACAGCAGGCCCCGACGAGCAGGCTGCTTGATTTGCAGAATTGTTCAGAGTGGGATGCGACGGCCACACAGCTAGCCCATCTGCAGGGTCCAGTTACCCCATTGTTCTGGAGATGAGGTGTGACGAGAAGCACCAAAGAGACAGTGGGTGGGCTCGCAAGTCTGCTTGGCCCATTGAACCCAGGCTCCTGCCAGGCATCACTTCACACTTGTTGGAAAGGCAGAAAAATCAGAAATGTCATCAGGAAAACAACGATCCTGCGCCGTGTCCTTTCTCTTTCTTCCCCCATATGGGAAATGAAATAGACCTTATTCTGGAAAGCATCGTGGTCTGTGTTGTATACCAGGGCAAAAACGGGAGCGGATGTCCAGCATTCAACAACATAAAAAGTCCATAGAAGCTGGAATGTTGTGTTGCAGTTGATGTGGGTAGCACAAGACCGGGGGGGGGGGGAGGATGCATCCCTGCCTCTCTTTCCTCTCGCAACAGAACCAGGTTAAATCCACACCTGCGATCCTCCAAACTGGCTTTCGTTTCAGAGGGTTTATTCTCAGGTATTCAGCTTGTGCTTCCCCCCTTTGCCCGTAACGAGTGAGCGTAGGTGGGCAAGAGAGCCGGTGTGTGCGTGCTGGAGAAGGGGGTCTTTTCAGTGGGGGGGGGAGAAGTCGAGGCAGCATCCACCCACAGGCTCCATTACATGATTCAAATGTCAATACAGATTTTAATTGGTTTCAGTGTCCCCTCCTTTCTCCCCAGCACCGGCAGCTGCATTGGGTAATTAAGACTCCACAAATAGATCTTCTCGGCAGCAGAAAAAGGGAGATGGGCAAATCTTGCCCGGCTGATGGTTTTATTTTATTATTATTATTTTCTCTCTCCCTCCCCCCCCCCTCCTCTCTTTTGGGAGCCTGGTCTTCGTGTCACAAGGCTCTCGTTTTTTTGCATGGGCCAAAGGCGTGCGTAAAACTAGGCATGGGGGATATGCAGAATCTCTGAACATCCCAAATTGAACGGAAGGTGCCTCCCTACATATAATCTTCTCTACAAGACCCAAACTGTTATGTGTTGTTCTGATTGGAAATCCATCTCTTTTTGTTCCATTGTGGGTTTTTTGGTTTTTTTTTTCTCTTCTCTTTTTCTCTTCTTTCTTTGTTTCTCTGTCTCTCTGTTCCTTCCTTCCCTTTTTTCTTTCTGTTTCTCTTTCTCTCCCTCTCTTTTTCCTTTTCTTACTCAATTCTTCTATTTCTGTTTGTCTCTATCTTTCCTTCTTTCTCTCTTTTTATTTGTGTCTTTCTCTTTCTCTCTTCTTCTCTATCTCTGTCTTTGTCCTCTCTCCTTCCTTCCTTCTTTCCTTCATTGCTTCCTCCCTCCCTTCCTCCCTCTCTTTCTCTCTTTTTCCTTTTCTTTCTCTATTCTTCTATTTCTGTTTATCTCTCTTTTCCTCTTTCTCTCTTTTTATTTGGGTCTTTTTCTATCTCTTTCTCTCTTCTTCTCTATCTCAGTCTTTGTCCTCCTCCCTCCCTCCCTCTTTCTTTCTTTCTTTCTTTCTTTCTTTCTTTCTTTCTTTCTTTCTTTCTTTCTTTCTTTCTTTCTTTCTTTCCAGGTTTCATGGCAGGCTTTTGGGGGGACCAGTTTCCCTCTCCTTCCCCTTGCTACAATCAGCCACTTAAAATTCCGCTCTTCTTTTCAGCTTGTGCAAAGGACGAACCCTCTATTCGGTGGTGAGAGATGTCAAAATGGTCCTGGATGTCAACAAAACACGACACATTGCTCAGGAGATTGTCAAGGTAGGAGAGGGGAGGAGGAGGAGGAGGAGGAGGAGGAGGAGGAGGAGGAGGAGGAGGAGGAGGAGGGGCTTGCTCCCAGCATGTCCTGGGCAGTCTCGAGTGAGTAATTTGATGCCGGGTGTAGAAATCACCGCTACAATCCCTAAATCTCAAAGCTGGTAAAAAAAAAATAAAAAAATCCCCCCACACATTTAAAGGTACTGAAACAATGAAACCCACTGAAAATAATTCCTATGCAAACCTAGAGACAGATGGATATTTAGAAGGCTTTTTATAGAGGCTACCACAAATGTTAGTCGTCTGTATCTCGGGGGGCAGTTGGGGGAAAGCTCTTCTCATCCATGAGAGTGGTGAGATTCTCTGTCTCCGCCCCCCCCAAAGAAACATGCCCTAAGATTAGACCTGGAAGGATACTCCTTAGGATGAGTCCTGTGACTTGTATTTCTATTTGTGGTGAGCCAGATTCTCTGACCTTCAGCCCCAAATGTGGTTGTTACCAAAGAGTCATCTCTAGTGTCAAGGTAACGATTTAACAACTAACCAGCTTATGTAATGCAAGATGTAATGATGGGAATGACTCAGCAGGGTCTGCGTCTCTTTAAGAGCCTTTGTGTAAAGGGAGGGCTCCCCTGCTATGTTCTTTCTCTTCCGTTTTCCTGTTGTAATCCTGGTGTGTTGGATCCTGTTGTATTAGCACGTGTATGTATATTGTTCCTGGGGTATGATATTGTAGATAGTGTAAGATAAGACACCATTTACTATATAGACCACTGTTTACCGTGTTTACTCCTGGGTTATCTCGCGCAATAAGACTGTGCACATTCTGACATCTAGCCATTGGGTAGCATCTCTTTGGGCGCTCCTATAAATCCCTTGATGAATGCCTGGAGGAGAGACAAAACTGTGCAATTTAGCCAAGAAGCCGGTGACTCACCTTCTCTCTAGACATATCTTTTTTCTAAGAGACTATCGCCAGTAGGGCCTAAGATGGCAGTTTTTGTGAGTACTGACTGGAGCTTTTTACAGAGGAGAAAAGGTGATGACAAATCGCCTTGCCTCCGCATCCATTATGCTTCTAAACCGTTAACACCACTGCTGCATGCAAGCCAGAGGTGGATTTGAGATTACGGTGGGGGCCGGTGAGCAGAGAATGATCCATCTTCACCTTTGGTTATCCCATTGGTTAATTGCTCTCTCCATTAGGAAATTTCTCCATAATTCTGGGTTGCTTCTTCTCTCCTTGATTAGTTTCCCTCTAATGTTTCTTGTCTCGCCTTCTGGTGCTCTGGAAAATAGGTTGAACCCCCTCTTCTTTGTGGCAGCCCCTCAAATATTGGAACAGTGTTATCCTGTCCCCTTTGATGGGCAAGCTCTCTTCTTGCTACCAGGGTCAAACCTAAACCAGTGGCTTTGAATTATAATAATGAGGATATTGATGAAATGCTAGAAAGAGCTCTGAGTGATTTGACAGTGGATCAGATTGATGGCCAAACGTCCAAGGTCCTTCCCAGCCTTATGATTCTCTATTTCTGTGCTTCTTTTATCAGAGATCTTTAGACATTCTGCTTAACCTGTCTTGATCTGGGTTTGGAGCTGATGGGCTTTTAAGGGACCTTTGGACTTTATTGTAAGATGCCTTCTAGATCAACCAACATCTAAAATGGATCCCAAAATTTTTTTTGAGGGGGGGGGAAACATGTGTATATAATTCTAAAAATTGTTTTGAAATGGCCCAGAAGTCTCTCTGCAACTCTTCACTCCGTTTCCTTGTTTTAACAGGGAATGGGCTACCTGCACGCGAAGGGGATCCTCCATAAAGATCTCAAATCTAAAAATATATTCTACGACAACGGGAAAGTGGTGATCACAGATTTCGGCCTCTTCAGTATATCTGGAGTTCTGCAAGCAGGCAGGTAGGTTGGAGAAACGTCACCTTCCTTCGTTCCCGTTCCCTCCTTTTCCACCTCTTCGATGGCTGTTACGTTTCCAAGCGCAACGCTGGACAATACGAAGCCTTATCGAAGGCATTTTGATTTCCCGGGAAGAGGCATTTTGATTTAGTTCTTGGGAGGGTTTTATAAGACCACATTCGGATGCCCTTTTCCGGGGTGGCAGAGAGACTCCATCAAGAAGGAGACTTCCTTCCATTCTTTCACGGAACTGGCTCAATTTTGGTCCCGAGAAGGTGCAAAATGAATTTTGTGCAGGCATTAATCATAGCTGGGCAGCGATGCTGTGGATTTCAAAGCAAAGAAGGCAAATCAAACGCATTTCATTTTCAGAGAATTGTGCCCGCAGAGAGACAGATATCTTTGGAATCTCTCCACATACATACATCACAGAACATAGAACATAGAATAGCTGGATTGAAAGGGACCTTGGAGGTCTTCTAGTCCAGCCACCTGCTCAAGCAGGAGATCCTATAATATTCTGGACAAATGGCTGTCCAGATTCTTCTTGAAAAGCTCCAGTGATGGAGCACCCACAACCTGTGCAGGCAAGCAGGGTGCAATTCCCATGGAATTAAAATTCGGGAAATATTTATCAAGCATTTTATGACACAAACATTGACATAAAATCGTTGATGACATCACACACAATGTCATCCAGACCTTTTTCCGAGCAGGGGCCACTTTCGTCGCTCTTCCCACGTTCCATCTTTCTCTCTAGAAATTTAATTAATTTGTTTCGAGAACATTTTTTTTTAAAAGGCAATTTTCATGGCTTGCGGTCTGCGATTTAGATGTAACATTGTACTTACAGGTTCTTTCCCAAATCAAAAAGGAAAAGAAAAGAAAAGAAAAAAAGGAATGGAATTAAACCCCAGCTATTGTGCAGATTTTCCTTGCCGCTAATTATTGCTTTATTGCAAAGCTGCCTGCGAGATAAATCACACATTTTAATCTTTCTGTAATTATGGCGTGTCAAAGGTACTGGATTAAAAAAGAGATAATGGCCTGCTTATTTCCCTTTTTCTGTCCCCCCCCCCTCCTTCTTTGAGGTGTATCAATTGTCAGGTTGAAGTGGCTAACTCTGCTGTGTGTAGGTTTCATATTTCTCATTCCGCCTTACCCCACCTCCCTTCGAAAAAAATAACCGTCTATTTATACCCTCTCCAGGTTTATTGCATAATTAGTTATTTATTTAAAGCAATTTTGATCCCGCTGTTTGGTACAAGAAAAGGCTTCCAGATATTAGCGCTGGGGATTTTCTAACTTGAAACAGGTGGACAAAGAGATGTCAGTCTTATGGAAAGGGAGGGACAGAGAGAGAAGAATAAGAAAAGTCACTTTGTCCAAAGTTTTTAAAGTTCTAAAAAGTTTGCCCTGGCTGCGCCGGGATCACGGATTGTGAGCGTGTGCCGTGAATCAGCTCTTGGATCTGATGCCAAAGGTGACTTTAAAAAGCAACCTGTCCAAGCCTGTTAATAGTTAGTTCATCTCAAAAAGAAGACAGGGAGGTGGCATCTCCAGCTAAAGTAGAAGGTTGGAAGGAAGTGACAGAGGCCAGACTTTTGAAGCTTTTATCTGCCTGTTAGTCTGGGGAGATTCTTGTAATAGAAGAACAGCAATGAAGAAGCCCCTTTGGCTGTGGAATTGTTCTGGTCCCTTGCACCTGACAGACAGGTATATCAGCTCTGCCCTCTGCACCGCTGTCATCCAGGAGATGGATGAGGCTTTGTTCTTTTCTTTTTTGACTTGTGCTTGACGTGCTCTTCCCCGCCGCGTCGGAGGCCACCGTGAGATGCTCACGATTTGTTTCCTTCCGTTTCTGGATGGACAGGAGGTGCCGGCCGTCTGGGGTTTGGGGCGACGCTTGGGCTCAGTCACCCGAGAACCCCGGTACAACTCAGTTTAGGTTACCTGAGCCCCGGTTTCCAAGGCATCTGGGTTGCGTATTACAAATGAGGGGTGGGGGAGGAATCGCTAACCACTCCCAAAATAACAAGAAGGGAGGGAGGGAGGGAGGGAGCCTGACCATCTCAAGGTTGACTCAGCCTTCCCTCCTTCCGAGGTTGGTTAAATGAGGACCCAGATTGTTTGGGGGCAAAAGGCTGACTCTGTAAACCGCTTAGAGAGGGCTGTAAAGCACTGCGAAGCGGTATATAAGTCTAAGTGCTATTGCTATTTTCCTTCCTTCCCTCTCTCTCTCCCTCTCCCCCCCTTTCTTTCTTTCTTTCTTTCTTTCTTTCTTTCTTTTTTTCCTTCCTTCCTTCCTTCCTTCCTTCCTTTCTCTTTCCCCCTCCCTCCCTTTCCTTCCTTCCCTCTCTCCCTTCTTTCTTTCCTTCCTTCCCTCCCTTCCTTCCTTCCTTCCCTCCCTCCCTCCCTCTCCCCCTCTCCCCCTCTCTCTTTCTTCCTTCTTTCCTTCCTTCTTTCCTTCCTTCCTTCCTTCCTTCCTTCCTTCCTTCCCTCCCTCCCTCCCTCCCTCCCTTCCTTCCCTCTCTCCCTCCCTCCCTCCCTCCCTCCCTTCCTGCCAGTGGTTAGAATGCAGAATAGCACTCTGTTCACTGCCAGAGGTTCGATCCTGACCGGCTTAAGGTTGACTCCGACTTTCCATCCTTCCGAGGTCGGTTAAACGAGGACCCAGATTGTTGGGGGGGGGGCAAGAGGCTGACTCTGTAAACCGCTCAGAGAGGGCTAGAAAGCCCTGCGAAGCTGTGTATAAGTGCTATTGCTATCATGATTCTGAGAGGGAGGGAGGGAGGAGTATCCCTTGCAGAGAGCAAATCTGCCAACATCTGTCTTCGCCCTCTCCTCCCCTGCCCACTCCCATCCCACGTTACCCCCTTCCTCCTCGGATGAGTCAGGCTGCAGAAGGCTGGAGCCTCCTGTGTGACTCGTGGGCTGCATTGTGATTCTCGGCCTCGGCCCGAATCCCACTGGAGATCCAATCCTTCTGTTCGTTTGTTGTTACTCCAGAGAGGAAATGGCCGGTTTTCTTTCCCCCAGGAGCCGGGAGGAGGGGGGGGGCAATGAGCTGGGGTATTTGAGATCCTTTTGGGGGATGACTGAAAAGCAAGCTCTGCTGGCTGGCGGTAGTCACAGTGGTAGAAAGAACTAAAAAGCAAGGAACCCTGTCTTCCAGGACACAGTAATCCTCGGCTTACAGTAGTTCATTTAGTGACCGTTCAAAGCGACCACGGCACTAAGAAAAAAAGGGACTTGTGACCATTTTTCACACTTAACGGCCGTTGTAGCAGCATCCCCGCAGTCACGCAATCAAAATTCAGTCTCTTGGCAAACTGACTTGCATTTATGACGGTTGCAGATATCCCGGGGGTTAGGGTTTTTCTGATCCTGTCTCTGCCTCTCTCCCTTCCTCTGGGCCTGCCGACAGCCTTTCCCAGAAGACCCTGACTGTATCTGCAACCCGGGGGCATTGTGGGACGTTAAAACGACTGCCAGACCCAGATCCACAGCACGGCGGCCCTACTTACTGCTGCAGTGACCCCCCTCCCCAAGCACTTTTTTGTGCCCAGGACTATCTCAAACCTGCAATGAAATTTGAGCCTTTCTACCCCCAGAGATTCATCCGACTCCAAGTCATAATTATTTACTTTACATTTATCTTCCTTTCCTTCCGAGGATTCAGAACAGCTGTCTTAACTCCATCCCCCCCCCTCTCACTCACTCACTCTCTCTCTCACTCTCTCTTCAATCCTGTGAAGTAGGTTAGTTTGGGGACCCAGAAACTCCGAGGAGAATGCGCCCAGGAAGGTGGTTTTTCCCAATCAAGGTTCTGAATTGGGCTATTGAAGCACAGCAGGTGGTCTGAAATGCATCTGGACACAAACCTTTAACACAAGTTTTGTGGAGATTCATTTTACTTCTTTCTCTCCTCTTTGATTAACCGTGGGGTGTTTTATTTTTTTTATTTTTTTCCTTTTCGGGGACTTGTGTATGGCACCAGCTCATTCCGTACTTTCATTTCTGCCTTTTTTCTACTCGTTCCTTGCCTGGGTAACCGGTGTGAAACGTTCCTCTTTTGCAAAGCATCTGCTTCCTCAAACTTTTTCTGGAAAATGTGTGGGCTTTTTTTGGGGGGGGGACTGATTTAGGGAGTTCACAAAAGGACCCATTCATCGGTTTTTCTCCTTGCGACAAGCACACGGGAGAGGTTGTTTAGGACAAGATGCAGGAAGTGACTGATCTAAGAAAAGCGTGAAGATTAACAATGAAATCTGTTCTTATTCTGATGGATCTTGGTCAACATGACTCCAGATATAAGATATTCCAGGATCCACCAAGTTCAAATCTAAATCAGTGGAAAAGTGTTGTGGTCCAATTGTTGGATCGTTTCTGTTCCTTTCCCTTCCTTCCTTCCTTCCTTCCTTCCTTCCTTCCTTCCTTCCTTCCTTCCTTCCTTCCTTCCTTCCTTCCTTCCTACTTTCTCCTTCCTCCCTCTCTCCCTATCCCTCCCTTCTTGTTATTTTGGGAGTGACATTTTTCCAGCCCCTGACACTTATTTTTGACATGTTCTTGAGTCTGCTGCTGAATAAAACTATAATGAAGAGTTTTGTTGTTGTTTGGTACGGTATGTTGTTTGTGGATTGTAATGCACCAGCTGGTATTTGTGAGCAGGATCTTGAAGTACTTGGATCCTAAGCCCTTTAGGGTTTTATAGACGTTGGTCAACACCTTATTTTCAACCATTAGGCGTAGGTACTTAACCCAGAGATTTTTACAGGACAATAAGATGGTGAGAACCCTGGCCTTATCTTCATTTTGCCCCTTCAGATCTCTAAGGCCAAAGAAACTCAAATTGCTATCATGAGTTTCTTTTTGTTCAAATCAGGTCAAAACCAGCATCAGGTTCCTGAGCTGATTTACTATGAAGTTTCCATCTTGTAAGACCAGGTGTCCCTGAAGAAGAGATAGAGAGAGAGAGAGAGAGAGAGAGAGAGAGAGAGAGAGAGAGAGAGAGAGAGAGAGAGAGAGAGAGAGAGAGAGAGAGAGAGAGAGAGAGAAGATACAAGAAAGCAGCAAGCTCAGAATGGGTTCTGGGGAACATCAGAAAATCAATACCATTTCTTTTTGTCTGAGGCGGACATGACAGAGCCAAGGCTAGCGGGCGTTCACTAATTGGCTGCTCTCTTTTCCTTCAGGAGAGAGAACAAACTGCGGATCCAAAATGGCTGGCTGTGCCACTTGGCACCCGAGATCATCCACCAGCTGTCGCCTGAAACGGAAGAAGACAAGCTACCTTTCTCCAAGCATTCAGACGTCTTTGCTTTTGGGTAAGTGTCACGATGTGACGAATGAGTTTGAAAGCCACCTTGGAAGAAGCTGATCTTACGCAATAGGTTTTCAGCTCGTTGGTGAACTTGGGCAGCGGATTATGAACCTACGCCCGGCCCTTTGACGAAAGCGTCTTCCTTAATCAACTGTATTTTCAGATGGGTGCCTTCAAAACAATTGCGGTCAGCCCAAAGAGGCGCCTAGCCTTACTCCTTAATCAAGGGCTATTCAACTCGTAATGAAGAGACGGTGCCAAGCCGGGCAAAGTCAAATTCTAAAATAAGCAATCATGGGTTTTGATAAGATGAATAATTAGCTGGAATGATAATGACAATGTGTGTTGGCGACGAGCTTGAAACAGGGGGTTAGGACCTCCATGGCCCTTAAAATCCCATATTGGGCAAAACATTGCTGGTCCTGGAGCCCTGTTTGGGATGATAAGACCCATTCCTTAGAGAAAAGACACATAGACAACCTAGAATAATAGTTGGAAGAGACCTTGGAGGTCGTCTAATCCAACCCCCTGCTCAAGCAGGAGATCCTAAACTATTTCAAAGAAATGGTTGCCCAAAGCCTCCAATGATGGAGCACCCACAACTTCTGGAGTCAAGTTGTTCCCCTGTTTAATTGTTCTCACTGTCAGGAAATGTCTCCTTAGTTCTAGGTCGCTTCTCTCCTTGATTAGTTTTCATCCATTGCTTCTCGTCTTGCCTTGTGGTGCTTTGAGCTCCTTGTCTTGGTAGGAGCCCCTCATATATTGGAAGACTGCTATCATGTCTCCCCTGCTCCTTCTCTTCATTAGACTCGACATACCCAATTCCTGTAACTGTTCTTTGTAGGTGTATCAGCCTCCAGCCCCCTAATCCAGTGGTTCTCAACCTTTTTCATGCCGCGACCCCCCCAACCGGTCGTAAGTCGAGGACTACTCAACTGGTGCAGCACCGTTTGCAGAATGGGACTTTTGGCGGGCTCAGCAGGGCAGAGACAGCCTGGACAATTCCTGTTGGCTTTGGAAAGCCAATAGAATTAGACTCTATTCAAGAGAGTCTATTCTATTGGCTTTCGAAAGCCAATAGAATAAAAGGGAGTAGCACAGCTAAAGAAAAGGGGGGAAAAATGGCGGACTGCGTTGTTTGGCGACCCCCGTGAAATGGTCGTTCGACCCCAAATGGGGTCCCGACCCACAAGTTGAGAACCGCTGCCCTAATCTATGCACCACCATGCAGAGTTATCAGCAGAGTTATCAACGTAGGCATGTTTGTGCATAGTTGAGAGGTCAGATAACGAGATGAACACAATAGAAGGCAGAAGGTTTTGTGATGGAAAATGTCGGTAACAAAACTGATATCTGGAATTCTCCGCAGCAGGAGAATTCTGCCCTGCAAAACCTCTTTCACAGAAAAATGGTCAGGAGCAACAGTGGAAAACTAAACCTCAGTCCATGAAAGTTCTATTCCCTACTGTGTTCTACTTTCATTTTATGTAGCGGTTTGTTTTGTTGTTGTCGTCGTCGTTGTTTGGCTTGCCCAGTTAATTATCCAGCTTCATAACAAAGAGAGCGGAGGATTCCATTTTTGTCATTATTTTTTAGTGGCTTCCCTGTCCTGTGATGAAATCTTTCCCCTGGCCCAATAGGGGTGCTGTTTTTTTTTATCTGACGGATTAATTTTCTTGGACGCCACTGAGATGGGAACCTTCAAGAACAGAGTAATAAAGTGATTAATTTATACTGAATTCTTATCTGGTAATGTGTTTCCATGGGGTCGGTGGGGGGAAAACAGCAATTAAATCTAATGCAAGCATTTGTATGACTTTAAAAAGTAATTATTGGGGAAAGAGAGTTCTTATCAGACAGAGCCTCTGGGTAATTTTTTAATCTGAAGTTTGAATTTTGAGAAAAATGTTTTCTTTCTTTCTCTTTCTCTCTTTCTTTCTCTTTCTCTCATCTCTCTCTCTCTCTCTCTCTCTCTCTCATCTCTCTCCTTCCCTTCCCTTCCCATCTCTTTCTTTCTTTCTTCCTTTCTTTCTTATCAGACAGAGCCTCTGGGTAATTTTTTAATCTGAAGTTTGAATTTTGAGAAAAATGTTTTCTTTCTTTCTCTCTCTCTCTCTCTCTCTCTCTCTCTCTCTGTCTCTCTCTCTTTCTCTTTCTCTCATCCCCCCCCTTTCTCTCTTCCTTTCCCATCTCTTTTTTTCTTTTGTTGGACTGGATTTTAAAGCTATTATTTGGCTTTTTACATTGGACTTTATAACGTCTTTCCTTAATATTTCTTTAACATTTTACCAGTTCAATCGCAATGCGAAATAAAATACAGCAGTTAACAAATGACAGATGCACGTTTCCCTAGACAAAACACACAAACAAATAACGAGAAAATGAATAGCAACACCACTGGCACTTCTACGTTTTGTAGTGTCCAACGCCAGTTAAATATTAATCCTGCAATCTAAGATAACAAAGGAGAAAATAATTGCCTGTTACATATAGCGATTAAGGAATTTCAGCTTGGGGGGTACAGTCTGCAAGAACTATGTTCAGATGTAAAAGGCCTTGGGTCTTAAATTCTCACTTGGCTAAGCCTCCCTTACTATCTTTCCTAAGCAAAACCTAGTTTTGAAAAGGAAGAAAAAAAATAGGAACAGGAAAATGTTTTTGGACCCTGAAAGAGCCTCGCTTTTTCTCCATGCCTGGAAATGATGTCAGTTGGTTTGAGCTGAAGCCTGCTCCTCTGTTCAGGAGTCCTAAGAATGGTTATTTCCTCTGCTCCTCAATTCAGTCAGAAATTGCAGAAAACCCCAATCCCCCGTGGAGGAAGTGGAAAATAAATCGCTTCCACTACCTCGTAAACAGAATCAAGAGGCAGCAAAAAAAAAATCCAAACAATATTTTCCCCCGACACCAAGGACCAGACTTCCTGTTGCAGTGCAACATCTGGAATCAAGAGTTAGGATTATGATGTGTGTGTTGGCTTTTAAATACATATATACATACATACCTGCCTACATGCATGCATGCATACATACATACACACATATAATTTTGTTTAGAGAAACCTATCAGCAGAGTCCAAATATGTTGGACTCCGACTCCCATAAACCTTGGCTACCCATCGCCTAGGATTTATATTCCCAGCAGGTTTAAGAGTGTCAGGGTGGGAAGGGGTATGAGAACAATGAATTAAGGCCAAAGGGAAAAGAGAAAAAAAAAAAGCAAATAAATAACAGAGTATTGAATATAAGGCAACTTCTCCAAAACTCAATACAGAAGCTGGATGTTTAACCATGCATGCAAAAAAACCCAAAACAAAACATATTGGAGGTGTCATCACAGAGGGGAGAAAAAAATTAATTTCCCTGGCAGAAGCAGCTGTTTAATCGAGGGATTTTTATTGTGTGCACTCATTACCCCCACCCCCACCCCAAATTAAAAGAAAAATACTGCAGGGGATCCACGTAATTTCTGCACAGAATTACCTCTTGAGTAGGAATTTTTCCATCTGTGCAGTGACCATCGGCTGCTGTTTAGGTTGATTTCAATCGGAATTTGGCGGCTATAATTCATAAATGAATACAGGATGCAATTCTAAGCGGATCCTACTGAATTGAAAGTTGGATAAGAGGTGAATTGCCCTTCTCTTTTTTAGGCAGGGCTGCCTGTGAAGTTAACCCGTTCTCCTCCTTTGCCTCCACAGAACCGTCTGGTACGAACTGTACGCCCGGGAGTGGCCATTCAAAAGCCAACCAGCCGAGGCAATAATTTGGCAAGTGGGCCGAGGGATGAAGCCGAACCTCAGCCAGATCGGCATGGGGAAGGAGATCTCAGTAGGTGACTTTAGAGGAAAGCGGCGGTAGGGCGTGGAGAAGAAAGCCAGATCCGCCAAGGGATCCTTGGCGCTCTCTGAGCTTGGTTGGGTGTTTTGTTTTCGTTTTCGTTTCGTTTCATTTTGCAGACGTTTCATTACACCATTAGGTGACATCGTCAGTTCTGGAAGAAAGGGGAGGTTTACAGGGAGGAGGAGAGGCGTGGTGCTCTGGAGCTTGGTTGTTTTCTTGCAGAGGTTTCATTGTCTAAATTAGGGACCATCAGGGCTAGAAGGGAGTGGGGTTTGCAGAGAGGAGGAGGAAGAGCAGGAGGAGGAGGAGGAGGAGGAGGAAGAGGAAGAGGAGGAGGAGAGGGAGGGTGCTCTCTGAACTTGGTAGGTTTCTTGGAGACATTTCATTACCCAACTAAGTAACATCATCAATGCTAGAAGGGAGTGAGGTTTGTGGACAGGAGGAGGAGGAGGAGGAGGATGGGGTCTTTGGTGCTCTCTGAGCTTGGTTGTTTCATCACCTAAACTAGGTAACATCATCAGTGGAGTGGGCTTTGTGGATAAGAGGAGGAGGAGTTTTTGTCTTTCTTTCTCTCTCTCTCTCTCTCTCTCCTTTCTGTATCTCTGTTTTTTTCTATTTCTCCATTTCTCTCTGTTTGTCTCTGTCTTTCTCTCTTTTTCTGTTTTTGTCTTTCTTTTTCTTTCTCTCTTTCTCTCTCCTTTCTGTATTCCTGTTTTTTCTATTTCCATTTCTCTCTGTCTCTCTGTCTTTCTCTCTTTTTCTGTCTGTCTTTTTTTCTTTATCTCTCACTTTTTTCCTTCCTTCCTTCCTTCCTTCCTTCCTTCCTTCCTTCCTTCCTTTCTTCCGCTTTCTCTTCTTTTTTTTTCTCTTCTCTCTCTCTCTTTCTCCGTCTCCTTGCATACCCCTTTCCTCCTCTTCTCTTTGCAGGACATCCTCCTCTTCTGCTGGGCCTACGAGCAGGAGGAGCGGCCCACGTTCACCAAACTCATGGAGATGCTGGAGAAACTGCCAAAGCGGAATCGCCGCCTGTCCCACCCCGGCCACTTCTGGAAGTCAGCAGAGTAAGGCAGTGGCTCTCCTCTCCATGCGCTTCCTCCCTCCCTCCCTTTGCTTCCCCAGCTGCCTGGCTGCAGCCCCCATTTCGCCATCGCAACCCAGCTAATCCTAGGAAGGGCAGAGCAGCTTTTAAGTTGCTCCTTAAACAAGTCAAATAGGAAGAAATTGAAGTCTACAGATACTAGTCCTCCACAGTTCATTTAGTGGCTGTTCAGAGTTACAACGGCACTGAACATAAGCGACTTGGGACTGTTTTTTTACACTTTTACACAACAGCCCCCCCAAAATCTGGACACCCGGCAACTGGCACATAGGGTCGTGCAGTCTCCTTTTGCGACCTTTCCCTCAGCAACTGGGGCAAGAAAAGGTCGTTAAAACAGGGGGCAAAACTCACTTAACAACTGTCTCGCTTAGCGACAGAAATGTCGGGCTCCCTTGTGGTCGCTAAGTCGAGGACTCCCTGTCCTCTGTGGGTCTTTGTGGGTCTTGACTGCTCCGTGCCTTCTGCATTCGCTGGGTTATTTTCTTTATTATCACGCATTCCCAAAAAATGAGTTGGGGGTTTTTGCACACCATACCAAGGCAGGGAATTTGGCACAAATTAAACATTGAGTATTGACACATAACGTGTATTTAGGTCAAGGATTACTAGCAGCCAGGCAACAGGGAAATATCTGGCCTTTGGGGGGGGAAGGGGGACCCTGCCATGCTCTTTCCTGCTCAGGCTGTTTACATATCTCCCTAGGGTATAAACTTGAGGCTGTCCCCAACACACGCACACGCACACACACGTGTGTGTGTGCACACTCATAGCCTGTTGCTAGGCCAACTGTCTGCTCACAGCTGGAGTGAGCCTTGCATACCATTTCTGTTCTTTGCAAGGAAAGAGGAGGAGAAGAGGCACCTGCAAGAAGGAATTATCCCTATTTTTAAGAAAGAAAAAGAAAAAAAAGATCCAATTTCCTCCCAAATTGTCCACCCTTGATCAAGCCTGAAAGATAACGTGGCAGGGTTTGAGACTAGATGGATTAAGATAAAGGTAAAGGTTTTTCCCTATCCAGTTATGTCTGACTCTAGGGGGCGCTGTTCACCTCCGTTTGTTAGCCAAAGGAGCCAGCGTTGTCCCAAGACACTTCTGTGGTCACGTGTGGCCGGCGCGACTGTATGCCGAGGCGCACAGAACACTGTGACCTTCCCTCTGAAGTGGTACCTATTGATCTACTCGCATTTGCATGCTTTCAAACTGCTAGACGGACAGGAGCTGGAGCAAGTGACGGGAGCTCACACATCACGTGGTGCTCGGGGTCTCGAACCTAGGCTATCGGCTTCCCAGCTAGCAAGCGCAGCATCTTTATAACCACTGAGAATCCCACGTTCAGGTCTACGCGCAACCACCAAAGCCTTTCTGTGCTTTCTCTACCTCTCCCCACAACCTGCTTCACAGGTTATTGTTGTGATAGCTCAAACTGGAGGAAAGATGGCTGATTAAATGGTTTGGAATTGCCGAAGAAAAGGCAGGGTTGAAATCAATCAGTAGCTAAATGGTAGATTAGGAGAACCAGATGGTACTTCCCAGGAATGTCGATCTCTCTGGGAGGTGCCCTTCTTTACATCTTCTTGACAGATGGATGAGAATAACCAGGTAAGTGCTGGAAGCCTTCTGCTCAACAGGGAGTGGAGACCTTCTGCTATTGCTCGCTTAGCAATACTCTCTCCACCCCCCCCCCACAATCCTTGTTTTCAACAGCATGAGATGGATTCATTCATCACTCAAAACCATGGAGGGATCTGTTTGGATCTGGCTCAGCATGTTGCACAAATAGAGCCATGGTGGTCTGTAAACCAGAGGACATGGCCGGGGGTCTTTGTCCACTCCAGACCCAATGCTCCCTCCACCTCCTTGGAGTTCAGCAGAAAGCTTAACCAGCATGCAATGTGCTATCCCACATTATCCTGTCTCTGTGTCCCATTTCAAGCAAAGTCCTCTTGGAGTCTTCATTGGTTTTGAGGGATGGGGTATATTCATTGATTGGAGACCTCAGGGCCCAGACTGGAGACTGATCCTTCTGGAGAAGGTCTGTCTACATCAGGGGTCCTCAAACTTGGCCACTTTAAGACTTGTGGACTTCCCCAGCCAGCGTGGGGAAGTTGAAGTCCACAAGTCTTAAAGTGGCCAGGTTTGAGGACCCCTGGTCTACCTGGTTGTTAAGAGCTGACACTGACTCAACGTAAATGATCTTCCAGCTGAACCTGATATCATTTGGGCTCCCTTGTCCAAATTTATCTCGGACCTGGAGTTTCTTCCAGGCACACCTTCTCAGGGAGACTTTCCTTACCGCCGAACGATGATGTTATCCACCTACTCTTCAGATGAGTGCTACCTCTACGTGAAATCTACTCTCGCATTCCGTGGCTCTGCCCAAGAGGTGGTGGGTAACTAGGGCAATTTTACGACCTGCTGACTTCAAACTGAGACAGCACCACCAGCTCAGGAATTCTGAGATTTGAAGTCCACAGGTTGTAAAGTTGCTGTGGTGGCCCCTCCCTGTCTACCCCGGTCCTCTCTTGTTTCAAAATCCCGATAATGGATGGCTCAACCTGAAAAGACTTCATACCCCTTGAGTCTGCCTTTGGATGGTGCCAAGGAGAAGGGAGGGAAGGAATACTCTACCTTAAAGACAACTTAACGCCTGTCTCATTCATGGTCTGGATGCCAGTTGAAGGCAACATCAGGAGGACATGGCGGGTCACGTGCTGCCGTGTGAATGTCTTTCCCTGCTTGACTACTGTTCTCACTTTCTTCTTTTTTTCCAGGCTGTGAATCAGAGGACTGGTGCCTTTCTTACACCCTTCTTCCTTCCCCCTTCTCCAATTCCTCTGTCCTTCTCCATAGACTGGAAGGGTATGGCCAACTTGGAAATGTTCCGGGATCAAAGAAGTGCTTTCTCTACCTGCCCCTTTAGAACAACAGACCTGAGGTCTGGACAGCAAGAGCAAACTCAAGCTCGCTCTCGGGGGAGACGAATGGGAATGTTCCTTGGTGTGGATGGAATGTAGGACGGAGAACATGAAGCAGGCCAAAGGCTGAGTGGTAGCCCACTTGCTACCGGTCTGGAAACACCTGACAGCAACCAGCCCTGAGATATGTCCCCAGTGGAATATCTGAGAGCAACTGTGAGCTACCTTTAGAAGCCATTTTGCATTAGTTGATGATGATATTTCTCTCTCTCTCTCTCTCTCTCTCTTTTTGTATGATTTTCTTTGGTTGTTTTTTCTGGACTCGCTATTTCATTGCCTGCACTGTGGAGAAAGGAGAAGGGTGTTTCAGCAGCCCCAGCACGAGCAAGGAGGGTGAACTTTAGGAGGACACCCTGGAGGCGCTCTTAAAATGGGTCAGATCGTCCCAAGGGTGCTTTTTCAAAAGGCAACTGGACTTCCTTGGTGTTTTTTTTTCTTGTTTTGATCAGAACTAAAGAAGCTTCTTGGATGAGAAGTAAGATGTCTTCAAAGAAACAAAAACAAAAAAAAAACCCCAAGGAAATCCTTTTGTAAAAGCATCTTTGGGACCACCATGATCTGGTGACTGGGAATCTCCATAGACCATGGGTTAGATCCCTCCTCACGGCATGGCTGTTCATGAAACAGTCAACCAGGCAGGGCCAAGAAGGAAATCTGAAGACTATCCAGGGAGAGCTTCATCTTGAGTAACCTTCACGCAGTTTAGAGTTTCCTCCAACTTTCCTTCTGAGTTCAACTGGCAACTCTCACTAGGGTGGGGCTGAATTTCTCGATACGGATTTGAGATTTGACATCAAAGGTTAACCTGCTGTGAACAGCTGCCAGTTCTTGGCTTTCAGGTGATCTTGTTCTTTTGCTGCCTGGTGCTTTTATTTTATTTTTATTTTTGTTAATTGGTTGCTGGCATTGTTTACCATCTCTGTGACTTCCTCTTCGCCGCCCTGCCTTGCAAAACCAAGTTGGAACATGCCCTGAGCACGGTAGTCATTTCTCCATCAATGCTCTGCCACTTGTCAGATTGTTGAAGAAGACCAGACTTACAGCATGCTACACATAGACTTCACACACATTTGGGGCCGCGTTCCTAGCCCTCCCCATCTGCCACCTTGTTTTATTCACAAGGGACATTACCAATTCATATCTGGCTGGCGGTGTGGCTATAGAATTTTTTTTTTTTTAGATAGTTTTCAGACAGTTTTGATGAGCTCATTAGCTGTTATTAGGGAGAGGGGCCATTTCAGATCAGGAAGGATATTAATCTAATTATTTCAACAAGTCATCTCTGCTACATTTTTGAGGTTTCTTATTGTAAGCTGAGCCCTAGACCTCTGCTTCAGCATCTTACTCTGATGGCACAATTGCATCCAGTTAGCTGCAAAGCTTATGAAACGTTGCATTGAAGCCACTGGAGGTTTCTATCAATTTCGGGGCCAAAGAGCTGTGCCTTTTTCTTAGTAGGCCTTTAGTTCTTCTCTACACAACAACAATAACAACAACAACTGAAGCCTAAGGGCTGAATGGCCCTTCCGTCCAGACAGAACTTCTTGAGAACATTGCAGTTAGTTGTGTGGTCCCAATATTCAATCATAGTTTGGGTTGTTTTTTCCCCCCAAGTGGGATATCTTAATTTTTTTCTCTCAATAGACATGGAGATCCACTACGGTTCCCTGTCAGCGGTCTACATTATCTTAGGCTCAGTGGAAGGTACAGCACGAGAAATTTGAGAACCGCCAATCAAAAAAAGCTGGAGGAAAAATAACGCGGAAATAAAACAAGACAATTCGGGTTCATCTCTGTGACCTGTCAAAGAAATGCAGCCACTTTGCTTTTTTCTCATTTTTCCTGAATTTCATTGTTGCCACCATCCCTTCACCTTTGTCCACCTCTTGTCAGCTTTCCTTTCTTTATGGCCCTTGCTGCATTCCTCTCTTCCTGATTCTCTGCACGTCTCTTGGGGGTGAGGCTCCATAAACATTGCATTAATTTACGGGAGAAGGTTATTGTTATTTCTTTTATTTTCACCTCAGTTCCTCATTTCAACGGGGCACTAGCAAAACCACTTCCACATTCTTGCTCCAGGCGCCCTGTATCTGGCCTCAAAAAAAAAAAAAAAAAAAAAAATTGCAGGCTCTAATCTTGTCACATCCCTCTGTGTTGTGTTATCTTCGTTGGGTCCCTGGTTCTCGTAAACCCAACTTTCACTTAGGACTGGTTTTGAGCGTTGAAGGAGTTGTGTCGGAAAGAGATTGGATGGGTCTAGTTGGACCATTTTGTGTGCGTTTTGTGCGTGTGTGTGAAAAAGCACGGCTCTTTGGGCCTTTGTTTGTGCGCCCATCTCTTTAAGGATCACCTTAGGAAAAGTCTTCAGGACTGAGCTGGCTCTTGTTACCAGTTGCGGAGAGGAATATGCTTGCAGGCTAAACAAAGCAATTCTTCCCAAGGGTTCTAGACCCTTCCTTTTGGGCACTTTAAAGATTTTGGAAGCCAAGCAAAGAAGCCACTGACTCAGCTCCCTAACCTCCGAAAGGTGAATTGATAAATGAAGCACGCCGTTTGCACGACTCCCTGCGGTCTCTTTAGTTCTGGAAGGGTGGTGTCCTTCTACGATTGACCAGCCGGATGTGGTTTTAATGGGTCTCCTCTGCCATCGTGAGCCGATCTTCTCCGCTTTGTGTGATTGTCTGAAGTTGCAGTTAGGCTCCTTGCAAGTTCTGAAGAGGCCTCATTTTCATTCCCCCAACTTCGCACTGCGAGACTGGAAGACCTGCTTGCCTTCTGCAAGGAGTCCAAGGGGCAACACTCATTTAACCACTGTCTCACTTTGCAGCAGAAATTCTGGGCTCCAATTGTGGCCGTACCACGAGGACTACCTGTGATCCATGGGGAAGCAAAACAAACACTGCTGGTTCGTTGGATAGAGGGGAATTTAAAGGAGGAACTGTTGCGTGTTAACATCGAACGGGGGAAAAAAAACACCTGCCCAGTCTGGATTATTTGCCTCCCCCCCTTCTCCAATCCCAAAGAAGCCGAGCATAATGGCTATGTTCTCATCGTGCTTTCTTATTCCCTCCCCCCTCCTCCAAAGTCTTAATTGTCAATAACAAATCTCCATTCCTCTCCCTCTCTTTGATCTCTGTTGTTTCAGCTCCACTGCCCTCTTCAACCCTGTTCTTTTTATCGATGGATTTTTATCCGGTTTAAAAATAACCAGCTCTTTAGAACAGAGAATATAAGGGAAACTGCCACAATGCTGTCTAATCGGAGTTCCAGGGGCGTGACTGAGGTTATCCGGTAGCTGGGATTTATTAGCCGGCTCCATAGAGACAGGAGTTTATTTACAGATCTGTTGAGTGAGCGTGAACTCTCGTCCCCTTCCCTGATCCCCTCCCGCGAGTCACATCAAGACTTTTTCTGTTCACAGAAAAAGTAGTACAGGGGATAAGAAATTTGTCTTGACTTCAAAGGTTTTGCTTTCTTTAGTTCAGGGGCAAACCATCAAACCCACATGGGTGGAATATAAGCTAGCTACTTTATTGCTCAATGCCTACTTCACAGGAATCTTCCCAGACTGGCTTTCGCACCTGGGCAAGACTAGATAAAGTTCAATGGCATTCAAGGACCTGGCCCTCTTGTGCCTACATAATGATTCCGGACTAATTCCCGGCTTGACTCCTCCCTCCGTGGCTCAGCCAGTCTCTCTCCGACCTCTAGCTGCCTCTCCTCTACATCTTAGAATCCACTATTCATCCATCTCCCATCACATGTACGGCTATCGTCTTTCTTTTGTTTTCCTGCTCAGAGAACAGGAACTCCAATATTATTTTTAGGGCATGGTTAAAAATTTCAGACCAAACACTGCATCTCAACCATCATAAATACGAGTCAGTTGCCAAGCACTTGGATTTTGATCACATGACCACGGGGATGCTGCAACGGTCATAAATGTGAAAATTGGTCATAAGTCAGTTTTTTCAGTGCCCTTGTAACTTTGAAGGAGCACTAATCCAGTGGTGGCGAACCTATGGCACGGGTGCCAGAGGCAGCACTCAGAGCCCTCTCTGTGGGCACGCGCACCGTCGCCCCAGTCCTAGGCCTTCAGCTGGGTTTTATAAAACCTTTTCGCTTTAGACCTCCGCTGCCGTGTGCAAAAAAAAAAAAAAAAGGGTTCAATCAGTCAATTTCAATTTCTCACGGGAAAAAAAAGATCTTGCAAAGTTGGAATTGATTGATTGAACTTTTTAGTCCCACCCAGTCTGCCGTTAAGACCGCAGCCACGCCCACCCAATGGGCCACACTCACCCAATGGCCACACCCACCCATCACTCAACGATGCATAAGTGGGTTTTGGGTTGCAGTTTGGGCACTCGGTCTCTAAAAGGTTTGCCATCACTGCACTAAACAAATCGTTGTATGTCAAGGACTACCTATATTTATTTATCTGTTTTTTATGCCTTCAAGTCAGTCTTGACTCCTGGAGAGTGCCTAGGCTGTTTCCTTGGGAAGTCACTGAGAGGACCCTACCCATTTATGTGTGCATATATACACCCAGACAAACAGATACACGGATCTATAGACTTATTGAGAGCCCTAATTTCAGGCTCCAATGCAAGCTATCCAGGGCAGAACAATCTCAGATGATCCTTCCCTGATTACCTTTGTATGGAGGAAATACACACCCACACACATATGGGCGTGGAAGACCGCCACATTAATTCCGACAGTAACACAAGGCAGATGTATTCTAATCCATCCATCCCATAAGCTCTTAACGCTGCCCTGTGCCACACATTCCTTTCTTAATTCTCGGGTTGCCTTATTCACAGTCCCGGGGAAAACCCCTTTGGATCCTTTAATTCTCTACACACACAAATACACACACACAGTCTAATGTGTTTCTGTTTCTGGCTTTTCACCATCGCGGCTGCTTCTCTTCTCCCCTTCCCTGCCCACATAGTGACATTTGAAATCCCCACTGGGTTCCGAGCCAGTAGCAATAAGCACAGATTGATGACAGGCCCCGTTTGTACACATGCTCGTCAATACTGTCTGTATTGAAAACTCTTTCCTTGGCCTGCATGCCAATATTTCTCTTTCACTGAGAACCTGCGAAGAACGCGAGGGTAAATGGGGTGAGCCGTCGGCCTCTCCTTGGCTAGGCGGGAACGTTTGGGCATATCTAAGGAAAATATTGTGCTTGGCATCGCGTGCATGCTGCAGATTGAAGGCAGTTCAACTGTTGCACCCAGGAGTAGGTTTCCCACAGGTTTGGAGCAGCCTCTGGCATCACCTCTGTAGCAATCCAGCACACCAAGATCACCACACTGAAATTCGGCGGCAAAGCAAATTCAAGTGGAGGGATGTTTGCCTGTTTCTAAGTTTAGAATAGGGATGGGAGGCCTCCAGGTGATCTTGAATTGCAATTCTTGGCAAACCTGCAGCCAGAAAGATGCTGGGAGCTGTGATTAGTTCTCCAGGCTAAGATCACGCTTATAGGGGCACATACATTATACTGCAGGTAGTCCTCACTTAGTGGCAGTAATTGTAACACAGAACTCTGCCACTAAGGGATGCGGTCGTAAAGAGCTGTGTAATGTGGTTGGGCCGACTCATGATGGTAATAGCAGCTGTCCCAGTTGCTGTCATAAGGCAAATCCACACAGTTGCAGCATCCCTTGCTCACGTGATTGCCATTTGCGACTTCCTGCAGGCTTCCCCATTGACTTTGCTTGTGGAAGTCACAGTGATGATCATTGGATCCCAGGACGGTCATCCTTGCAAGCCAGCTGCCCAAATCATAAATCACGTGACCGCAGGGATGCTGCAACAGCCACAACCCCACGGGAGTAGTCATTAGCCTCACTTGTTCAGCACTGTCGCACCTTCAAACAGCCACTGTATGTGTGGTCATTTAATGGGAATTGCTGGTAACTGCATCAAAGATGGATGAATTTTATCAAGTCATTTGTACATAAGGAGCACCTTTGTAAAAACCCCTAGCTCTGTGTGTGTACCGCGTCACGTATGCACACAGTCCAAATTGAGGGAGGGCGACCGATTGGTTTTAATGTTGTGTTCTCTGTGTCGGTCTTGAAGTCAAGAATGAGTCACAACATATTTATTCCCAGGGGAAGAACTTTTCACCCACGTCAAAAGCAATAGGAGTGCTCTGAAATATATATATATATATATATATATATATATATATATATATGTATGTCTTTGGTTGTTCGGGTTTTCTCCCGCGTAAAATTGGAAATGTCTTGGCGACGTTTCGACGAATGGGACTTCGCCAAGACACTTCCAATTTTACTTCGCCAAGACACTTCCAATTTTACACGGGAGAAAACCCGAATAACCAAAGACATACATACATACATACATACATACATACATAAAAATAAATAAACATGAACTGCAGAAAAAAATTTAAACTAAAAATGTTTAATCTAATGCCAAGCTTTCGTCGGTCAGCACTACCGACATCATCAGGGCTTAAGGCAGGTCAATGGGAGTCTCCTTTATAGTACTGGCCAGTTTTACGCATGACTCCTGGACCTCGTCATTGGTCCACTCAATGGTCGTAATTGTTTAAACTCTGAGAGGTGCATATTGGCTGTTTTCTTGATGTTATTTGGGGCTGCTCCTCCGTTACTTACTTCCCTTCCTCCACTTTCCCCCTTCATGCGTCCGCTATTATCCATCCACCCTCCACAGGCTCCTAAAACCAGCGTGTTCATATATATATTCTATGTTTCCGATGATTAAAAAAGACGACATCTGCCTGCGATGGAGCAATGGAGAAGATCAAAACATTTTATAAACCGCCAAGCCCATGGAGGACTAGCCTGTATGGAATATATCTGTTTTACATTGGTTGTTGCCAAATCATTAGAAACAATTGAGCAAACAAACCATTGATTCTCAGGCAAACAAAACAAAACTAAATCCACAAAGAAACCCACAAAAAAAAAAAAACCAACCTCCACCAAAACTGGGAAGGGGAGGGGAGAAAAAAACACCACGAAGTAAAGCGAAACTGAAAATATTGTTCTTCTTGCGGATTGTAAATTTGTACAGTACCATTTATAAAAAAAAATTTTCTACACATGAGGGAAAGTATTTATAATTTCCGCTGTTGGTGGGAGTGCAAGTGGCAGGGGACTGCAAAAATAAAATGAAATAAAGAAAATACGAATGGAGCGTTTTAAGAGTTTTCTCTCTCTCTCTCTTTTCTTTTTACTTTCTTTTCTTTTTATTTTATTTTTTTTTTTTGGATTTTCATTCCTTGTGCTTTTGGTGAGGTGTCTGTTGAGGTAAATTATGTATGAATTATTTATGCCAATAAAGATCTGAAAACGATCCCATTCTCTTCCTTGCTCACTCTTCTCAATTTTCCTGAGGACTAGTGAAAATTCAACAATAACCAAAAAAGGGTCAAAATGGCGGCCATGCCTAATAAGCAGAGCCCTGCCTGTTTTGTGGCTCCATTGATCTTGTGGTTGTGGCCTCCAGCACGCCCTCTTTTGTCACCCTTAGAGGA